TATATATATATATATATATATATATATATATATATATATATATATATATATATATATATATATATATATATATATATATATCCGGGCCACTGGTGTATTTCGTATAGAAAACGTTAAATATTCCTTTCTCTCTGCCAAAGGTTAGGATCTCTTAGAAATGCCAAATTGGCCGGGTTTCGAACCCGGCTTGAAACAATCGGACATTTAGCCACACTGAAGAGCTGTGATACAGCGAAACAGTAAACAGTCTGTCTGTCTGTGGATGACAATATATATATATATATATATATATATATATATATATATATATATATATATATATATATGATAAGCTAAAAATAATAACTGGCTTGTTTTCCAATTTGCTTGCAAGTCGTATCACCAGTTCGGTGATTTGTATTTTGACTTCCATACCTGCATATTATCATTGAGCTACATCTGCCATTGAGAGCGTATATGAGTACGTAGAAATATTAAGACTAGATACACATTATTCATTTATGATATGTGTGCATGTGGGCACATCTGCTTTTGGAACGAGATGGCCTATCAGATAAGATGACAGCGAGTAGCTACCTAATTGTCTTTGAATATTATTTAGCACTGACGCCTTAAGAATGTGCACTTTATTAAACCGTCTTCTCTGTTACTGCGTGACAACTGTAGAAGAATTAAAATCGAGGTCTATTCGCCACAGTTTTCCTCAGCTGAAACAAATGACGAATTCGTTTTAGTTCTCATATGTTTTCTGTATCGAACCCCCTTTGATAATAATGGCAATAATAGGCGCTCAATATTTCAAATTTGTCAATGACCAAAATTGAAAAAAGTTTTAATACGTGAATCCTTACTGACGGGAGTATTGTGATACATATTTAGAAAGTGATAAATATATTTTATAGAAAGAAATATCGTTGCACGTGTGTCTTCTTTTGTTCCTCATATATGGAGTCTGCTAATTGTTTTAATAAATACTTACTTCACTCTTAATATATATAATATACCTACGGACAATGTGGTCATAGGAATCAACATTGCATGGTGACTGTAAGTTTCTCGATTCAAGCAGTTTACAGACCAACAATCGCTACTCCGTTAGCGGACTTTGTTTATAGACTACTGGGAGATTAAGGAGAGTAGTGGAAGGAGGGAACTGGTCTCTCCTAGTCATTTATTATTGATTATATTTTACGGTTTATCAACCCTTTCCAAGTTATTTAAAGCCAGAAAATATTTTTATATTGTAAGAATTGTAAGCCGTCTTAAACTACTGTAATTTATTTTTGTTTAATAAACGTTAATAACTACAAAAAAGGCGTTACTTTTGCCTCACCCTATATATACAGAGTGTGACAAAATGATCTGACACATTTGTAGGTTTAATAAAAGTGAAACAGAGTAAAGAACGAAAAATATGTTCTTATTTTCGAAATATGCACATAATGACATTTTGTTTCATTTCATTTCAAAAATTAAATCAGTCAAGTGGGTGCAGTTATTTCCAACACACTATCGAAAGTTGTCCATAAGTCGACCGATCAATTCATGTGGAATGGCATCAATTTGTTGGCAAATGGCATCTTTTTTATTGTTCAATATATCGAAGGCGATGCGTGTATACCTTTGATTTCAGATATCCCCTCAAAAAATCGCTAGGGTTCAAATCAGGTGATCGGGCGAGCCAACGTTCTTTGTGTTGCAGTTACCAATTCGTTGTTCTTGATAAAACGTTTCCACAAAAAAAGCGCCATGTTAACGACTGAAAATGAAATAAAACAAAATGGGTTATATGTACATTTAGAAAATAATTAAAATAACACATTTTCCGTTGTTTACTCTATTTTGCTTTTAATAAACCGACAAATGTGACAAATCATTTTGCTGTACTACCCCTCTCTTTCTCACTCTCTCTCTCTCTTAATAGTTAATAACTGAAATTGTTTTTGTTTTTTTCTGTTTACCAGACTTATCCTGGAAATGCACAAGGTCAAATGAGACAGAAAGGTTATCTTTATATAAGCATTGGAAATCCTCGCTCGAATGCAGGTTTTTGGTGCAATTAGGTGACGTAAAAAGCAGACACTTTCTGCAAGACTAACCACATTTGTTATTATGTGCCGAAGTTCTTCAGAAGAACATGTCTTTCTTTTTTTGAATAAATTAATAGTTGCACATGTCGCCAGAGGTGGGAAAGTCTAACGGATATTAATATCTTACCTAGAAGATAAGTTATTAAAGAAATAAAAATCATAAATATTTTATAAACAGATGCTAGACTGACAGGGTTACCTGTTTTACCGGTGTTATAAAAAATATGTTTTTTCCAAAATTTTACAAAGAGTTTTCATAATATCTTTCACAGATAAAATGCAGAGCTAATGATTGAGTCGTTTATATTCTGATCACCTTAAGTTAAGCAAGGTCGAATATATTCAAGCGCAAAGATGGTTGGCTGATTAAAAGCACTAGACCGGGTAAGATAGGTAAACCCATTATCCTT